TTCAATAGCCATTAGAGAAAGTGCACTATAACTGTTGGTTTCTGTAGGTAAATCACACATATACTCGTGTATTCTATCAGAATGCCAATCTGTAACAATAACAATGGATGTTTTGTGACTTAAATTTGTTTAGAATTCCATAAATTGCGATTCAAAACCAGGAGCGGATGGGCCTACACAGGCGCTTCCTCGATTTTTCTTCTTCTTTTTTTAAATTTGAGTTATTTTAACAGAATTTGTGGTCATTAATTAAAAAAAAAAATCATGCTTTTCTTTGTTTTTTGGCTATACTGGCGCGACGCTGTTTCAATTGACCCTGCGCAGGTCCAAAGGGTTCCATCCTCCCCTGTTCAATACATTAGATAAAATATAGAATTTTCAATAGATATTCCGCAAATAAAAAAAATCCAAAAACACACTTAAAAACGATAACTGGTAAGCGTATCAAAGCACCGACGAAATCTGTTATAAATAATTTTTACTGTTTAACAATCTTAAACATTTGATGATAAAGTCAAGATTGCCGTTTAATAACTGTTACTGACATAGTTTTCATTGCCATTTTATGCAATATTTTCTTTTTAGAAATTTACAGTCAACTTTAACTGTTATTTATAATATATTAAATAAAATATAAATATACATATTAATGTTTTTCTGTTCAATCAACGCACCGACTGATGCGCGAAATAGAAGCATCGATGCTATAACGCTTTATCTTATGCATGTGCGATCGCATAGAGTTGTTCACTCTTATACAAGCAAAGAAGGTCTGAAAGTTTTATATTGCCTAGTCTGTAATTTGTATACAGATTCCAGCAGGAGGCAGCACATAACGTGGCGTTTCAGCCACTAATTTTTATTAATTTTATAACGTAATTAAAAAGTCGTTAAAAGCTCAAATTTGGGAATTATATTTAAAATAGTTTTATTTAGGGATTCTCGTATTTTCATTATGATATTTTGAAATTTAAAAAAAAGTGAGCATCACTAGATAATTTATTTTCCAAAAATTTGAATTTTTTAACGAAATAACTTTTTAACTGATCTGCTTAATCATCTTAAGACCGCGGTGTCTGAACGAAGTGGAAAATCAATAGAAAGTCGTGAAGAAATGAAGGCCTCATTTTCTGAATTGTTTTCTAAAATTAGGCAAAAATTGCAAACTGTTAACAAACGATGAAAAACTAAAGAACTTCGTAGCTCATTTAGTCATCCACAAGAATTGGCATATGCAAGCTGGTAAGTCTACGTTCTACTGGCTAACTAGATGCAAGTAAGCTTGTCAAAGAAGCCGCTCTTAGTACTCCTACTAGAGCATCAAAATATAGAAAAAGTTTTAAGGTTACAACTGAAACTCCTTTAACAAGTGGTCAAGTGAAGGAGCTCTTTCAATTTCTTTCAAAAAGCCAGTACCAAGGTGTACGGTTAATAAGTTTGGAATAAAACTGCAAGGTCTATCCTTCTTATAGGAAAGTATTAGAAACAAAAAATTAGTATTATCCTACTCGGATTTCAATAAAAATTATGGAAAGTAGCGTTAAAGTCGAACTACAGCAATTATTAAATCACACAGCTCAACGTATAATACAAACCCAAGAAGAAGTTATTGCCACTTTGACTGATACAGAATTGCAAAACTTAATTTTTTTTTGCAAATGGGAATGTGATGGAAGCTCGGGTTAAAGTGAGTACAAACAGACATTTAAATGAGAAAGCATTTCTGGTGCCAGCATATTTTTTACATCGGTCGTTCCTTTGCATATAGTCTACACTGATATTAAACTTGGTAAATATATAATTATATAGAATAATTTTAGAACGTCATCTCCACGATTTTGTAGACTACTTCAAATTCAATTTCTTCAAGAAACGATTGAATTGACAGAAGCTGAAACAAGGCATGTTGAAAACCAGATAAATACAATTTTGTCTTTTGAAAGAACCTTTAGAGAAAAAGTGCTAAAATAACGTATATTAGAAACTTAACAATGATCGATGGGAAATGCAGTGTCATCACTGGAACAAAGTCATCACAACGTTGTTATTTATGTGGAGCAACTAGTAAATATTTTAATGACATAAGTAAAATTTTAAAGAAGCCTGTTTTGGAAGAAAATCTTAAATTTGAACTATCCACTCTACATGCATGGATCAGATTCTTCGAATTTGTCTTGCATTTATCTTCCAAATTCCACGAAGTGCTGAAGAGAAAAAAGCAGTAGATAATAGAAAATAAGAGGTGCATTTGGGGCTAATAGTGGACAAACCAAAGCCTGGCTTTGGAAGTTCCAATGACGGCAATACTGCTTGATGCTTTTTTGAAAATTCTGAAGTTTCCGCGAACATAACTGGCATTGACGAAATATTAATTAAACGTTTTCATGTCATTTTACAGGTAATATATAGTTGTTACGATATTTATTATGAACTGTTTGCTATTGACACAGCAAAACTATTTGTTAATTTATATCCATGATATTACATGGCCACTTCCGTTCATAAAGTGTTAGTACATGGAAAACAAGTCATAGAAAATACTACTTATTGGAGAATTATCTGAGGACACCCAGGAGGCAAGAAACAAAGACCTAAAAAAAAGTATCGTGTCGATTTTTCTCGAAAATGTTCAAGAGTAAAAACAATGGAAGATATTTTTAATAGACTGCTTGTATCTTCTGATCCCTATATTTCAAGCATTACAAAGCTTCCAAAGAAAAAATTAAAACAATTTTCCCCAGAATCGTTAGAAATGCTTATAGCCAACAGTTCTCAAAGTCAATTAAGAATTGGCGATGTAGATTAATGACTCTGAAACTGAAACCGAGTTAACTGTTAGTAGTGAATAGGAATAATTATTTTTAACCAAATTAGTTTTTTTTAATAATCCACTCATTTGTAAAATTTTACAGGTCGGTTAAAATGCCCACTTAATTACTTTTAAAAAAGTCAATAATTTATTTATAATTCGGCCATATTGTACCCGCCATCTTGTTAACGATATTTTTATGGTCATAATCGTAATTGGACACCTTAAGAACTCCTAAATGAGTTTTAGTACAAATCCAGCAGTTGTGGTATTTATAGCCGAATATTTTAATTTTGGGACCTCTGTGCATCGTATTAAATTGGCGCGAAACAAAACTGACGTGTGTAGACTCCACCGACTTTGCTTTTTCTTCAACGTTTTTAACCGTCGGTTTTAGTTGTATGGGCTCAGTTTTCACTCTCACTATAGCCAAGATCTGGAATCTAGATCTACATGGCTTGCTAGGCTCGCGTTAGGTCTCTATGGCTGATTTTTGTAAAATTAAAACCTTTTTAATGGGTGTCGGCTGCATTACCCAACGAAACGGTTTGAATTTTTTCAGTATTTTTGTTGACAATGAAGATATAAAAAATATTTCGAGTAATATGTGTGTGTAAAATGAATATTATTTAATTCATCCTCTAAAACCTTACAGCGGTGTAAAATAGTTTGTATAGAATAACCAAAATATATGAAATAATCTACATAGGTATAGGTTTGTATAGAAAAGCATCGGTTGGCATGGACTTACCTCATTAGGTGTTAGGGTATTTGAAAGAAAAGTTTTATACAATGTGTCCAATTTAAGTCGGCGCACCATATATGGGAAACTTTTTTTATTGTTAGTTTTATAGAAAAAATGGCATTCTTTATAAAAAGTTCTGCATGGTCTAAAGCTGAAAATACAACCATCAGTTATTAAATTTTTGAGTAGTGGTGCATCAAAAAATATAAATTTTGTTCAAGACTAATTATAAGTACCTTTATTTTTGACAAACCTTGTATACGACTGATAAAATTTGATATCTACTGGTTTTATTTTAGGTTTAAGGCCATGCACATTTTTTTTATAAAGAATGATAAATACATCTATTCACTTTTAAATTTAAAGTAGTAAACAAAAGGTGCACATCTACCTTTTAACTTTACTTTTCATCATTTTCTTTGTGTTTCTAAGCTAGTATTTTGAAAATAAATGCAAAAAATAATTCAAAAACAAAACCAGAGATTGTAACCTCAATTTGCTTTATGTTTTTACAAATTTTGACATGACACATGACAAAGAAAAAGAAGACTCTGGGACCTGGCACTAAGTAGATAGAGATGATGAAAAACTGAGCACAAACAACTAATGAAGAAGACAAAGAAAAAAGAAAAAAAATGAATACCGACGCCGTAACCTTAAACAGATTGCCAAAATAATAATTTACAGTTTTCTTTTTTAATTTATTAGTTGTTATGTAAACTTATAGATGCGCAAAGATCTTCCAATGACCTTGCAACTTCAAGATGTCTTCCGTTGAAATAATCTATTATAAGAGAAATATGTATTTGCTCTTCTCATATTGACAAACTCTTCAAATTCAACTGATTGCCTTCTTTGTTTTACTGTAAACAATCTAAACATTAAAAAAAAACTCAAATTAGTGTTAAAAATATTTATTATTTTTTTAAGTACAAATTTGGTTGGAAAATAAAATATATTTAACTTATGTACAGTTTGTTTTTTATATTTTTATTAATTCCTTGGTCTATTCTAGCTATATTAAACATTTTTACAAAATATCACAACTAAAAAAATACTGTCAACTATTAAACAATAGTTATATAAGTATACGACTTAAACTATACATAAAATAAAGAAAAATGGTCAGTCAATCCTTGACAATATCGCAAGTAGCCATTAAATAAACTGTTCGATAATATTACGAGACTATCAAATAAGTTTGTGCGAATTATATAAATAAATTTATATTTCTATTTAGTGGAAAGTGTACACTTATATTTTCATTTATAATTATTTACATACAATTAGAAAACAAGTTTTTAATTCAGCTTATAAGTTTTAAAAAAGTTTTTTTTTTGTTAATCTTATTGTATTTACTGGCCAATGTTTTGTTTCTACGAGGCCACCTTCATTAAACTTTTATTGTAGACTAATAATAAGTAACTGATAATAAAATATATAGGGGTTTTCTTTGTTTTAGTATTTACTGGTTGGTTCCGGTTTATTATAGGTAGTCTAGTGAACACAATAATAAATTAAAATGTTAATTTCCTATACATGAAAATTGTTAATAATAGTACTAAAAGTAGAACACTTGTGGGTACGGATTTGATAGAATTATTATAGAATCCGCCATATACTTGTAGACCTGCTGTCTCTATGCTTTGTTTGCAGTAATCACCGTCGTAGAGCCAACCTACGAATTCACCTGAAAAAATTCCAATAATTATTTACTACATCCACACTATAGGTAAAAGAAGAGTAATTTAAATTAAAAAAAACTAAGTAAGTATAAAAAATTACAAATAATCAAAACTCTTGATTTTTTTTCATAAAGCATTGAAGTACATATCCTATGTTCCGCGGGTTCTTACACTTATGAGGTATTGAATTTTGTGGTTTCGGTTTTCTTGGGTTGTAGGTGTTTGAGTTAAAGTAAAACCACAGTATTTTTATTTATTAAATGATGACTTTGTAACGCTTTAGGCTCTTGTATGAGACATTCGAGAGACGCTAAAATGATGGTTCCCACCTTATCGAGACTGAGGCCCACAAGGGTAAACTCGTAGCGAAACAAAAACGAGAAATGATTTAACTTGGAACGAAATATCGAAAGCCAATAGTAGTATTAGCACGATGAATTTTTTGGTTTGTGAAGCATTGGCATTACTTAGATTAAACCATGTGATGATTTTCACAAGCCTTGATTTTTAAAACCATTCTATATCGCCTTTTGATTAGGGTTTAATAAAAACTTGTTCGAGCAATTTATCCAATAATAATTGGCTCCTTTACCTCTTAAGCCTGCTCATGTAAAATATTTGGGCTTCTTACTTCGGCTATTTATATTCTATCAATAAAGGACAGAAGGATGAGTATTGCAACTATGTTAAAAGAAATAAATTGGCTTTCAGTTCAGAATTATGTTCAGTACATGACTGATATTTATTTATAAAATAAAAATGACAGTACCATCGCATCAGATCTATTAGAAAAAAATTCAATATAATTCGTAATATCACAATATAATACAAGAAACTAATCTGACTTTCATGTACGGCAAGCTATCACTAAAAATTCCCAAAATACAATTTTTATTAAAGGTTTAAAAAATTTAATAGACTGCCTACAGAAATTAAAAAAAAAACAATAAATGTATTCAAAAGTAACCTCAAACAATATTTGATAAATAAACAGAACGGATATACTTTCTTGTGATAATACTCTTTAAACCTGCCATTTCTAAGTATTTCCCTTAATTTATTGTTATTTTACCCCTCGTTTTATCCGCATTTATTAAAATTAAATTTAAATTATTAATAGTTTTGCGACGATAGGTTATAGCAACTTATAGCCACAAAACTATTTTTGTGTTAAAGTAGATCCATAGAGAGCAATGTAATTTACAAAGGCCTTCTTTCAACATACAAATAAATGACAACTTTATAATTAAAATGAAAAACACAACAAAATACCTCGATATCATAATTGATCCAAATTTGAAATGGGCATTATATCCTACCTCTCTTTTATAAAATAAAAAAGTGCTTTGTATAAGAACATTATATTATCTGTCTTGCTGTACCTTTATTTATGGAAAGCCTGAATTGAGATATTTATAATTTGCAATAAATATCAAAAGAAGTATACATTTTTAAATAATTTGACATTTAAGAGCCATTCAGATATCGCAGTTGACATCTTGATACTTGACAGGCACAGCCAAGCATTATTTTGATTTTTGCCAAATAAAATGGCCGGTTAATTATTCTATGGGGTTGCGACTGAGAACCAGTAAATTTTATGAAGGTGTTTTTGTGGCTAGGGGCGAAATAGTAGCACGCTTAATAGCACCACCATAAAAAAGTCATTTTTAAGAAACTGCTTATATCTTTTTCATAAATTGGCAGGCTTGGCGACTAATTTCGAATGAAAATAGCCTCCAAAATGGATATATGGTTGCAAGTGTGAAGGTCGCAACATTTACTATCAACAGCTAATGTTTGACAGGTTGTTAGAGAATGTTAAGAATTTTGACGTTAGAAATAATTGGAATTCCTAAAATTATCACATAAGGAATGCATAAGCGAATTTAAGAAAATTGTTATTAAAGTAGTTAGGATGAACCGAAAATTCTGAAAATCAATAGGGTTCTAAGTTAGAAGTAATTATTCAAGAAAATCAAAACCGCAAGTCAATCAGAACTTTCGTTCTAGAGTTATCGTGCCGGCATACATACACACAGACGACCAGATGACATTTTTTTTTGATTTTCGGACTTAAAAAATGGGGGTCAGAAAATTTTTTCGTCTTCACGAATGCAATACTAAGGCACCATAGGAAGGGCCTCAGTAAAAACTATAGTTTTACATTATATAACAATATATAACCTACCAATATGTAACCTACCAAATATACTTAGTAATTTCCAGAGGGAATTGCCTAAAATTAAACTCTACAAAATATAAATTACTAATAAGAACTATGTCTACTTGGTTACATAATTTTCTGTTGTTCCGATGTCAATCTTCGGGCCTTCGACGTCGCTCAGACGTAGATAAGGGGTGGATAGTTATAAAAATTCCGGAAGTAGTAGACAAAATTATGAGTCCCTATAGTGGCCAATTTATGTTCTTATATTCCCACAAACCCAGTAAATGAGGAAAGAAATAAAAGAGGAACCTCAAATGTATGTTCCTTTATAAAAATTTACCCAAATATTTAAAGATAACTAAATAAACCAAAAAACTATATAAAGTAAGAAATTAACTCTTATATGTCATATGCATAAACCTAGAAAGAAAAAAAAGATTCATCAATAGGTGGCATGGTCAGTCGTTGGCATGGTACCAGAAGAAGGACGATTTGCGCATGATATTAAGCAAGTATAGTAAAATATTAATTTCTACTTCTTTACAACTCCAAAAGTATAATTCAACATGTGCAACTCCGCACCTATTTATAAACAACAACTTCAAATGTTGAATTATAATATAGGTACAATTAACACTTCAAATTGGAAGAAGTTAGGTACTTGTTTAACTTATAGTTCAGACCAAATTAACATTAACAAAATAAAATTGTTTGATTACAGAAATTCGCTACAACACACTCAATACTGAGAAAGTTAGCAAAAATCATTTTAGCGTTCCTTTTACTGATATGAAATTAAAAAAAGCTATACTGAAATAGTTTTCTTTACTTTTGTTTAAAACGCCTGACCTTAGCAATCTGACTGCATGTCTGTAGTTGTCAGTGTTATAGTCATTTGAATTTCTTTAATTGCATATCAGAAAAATGGTTCATTTAACAGAAATGTACACAATAACAATTCTACAGATTGGTTATGGAGATAACACACGGACACAAATGGAAGTTGCTCGTGTATTTCAAGAAAAATTTCCAAATTTTCGGCGTATATCCCAAGGGACAATTAGTAAAATAGAGAAGCTGTTTTGCGAGCTTGGACATGTAAGGTAGATAAAAAAGATACCTGTTAATGCAATAACTTTACTACTGATACCAAATTGGATATTATGCTTGAGTTTCAGGAAAACCCACATACTTCCAGTCGACAAGCAGCCCCAATGTTCGATATTAGCCATTCATCGATTATTCAAACATTAAAAGAAAATAAAATGTATCCCCATAAAATAATAGTAACTAGTAAAATAATAGCTCATGGAAGACGATCTTGATAGGAGAACGCAATTTTGTGAACAAATGACGGCAATGTTAGATGTTTTGTTTTCTGATAAGTGTACCTTTACACTTTACGGTCATGCTAATCGTCAAGATTGCCGCTATTGGTCTTGGTAAAATTCTCACTATGTGAGAAAAGAAAATACGCAATACCCTGAAAAACTTAATGTTTGGGCAGGAATTGTTGGCAATCATATCATAGGTCCCTTTTTCATTGATGGCGATAATTATTTAGCACTGCTCCAAAATATTGTCGTGCCAACTTTAACGAACTTATATCCCGATCCAGCAAACCCAGAAGTTCCAGCGAATATGATATGGTTTCAGCAAGATGGAGCACCGTCCCATTACCAAATCAATGTCCAGCAGTACCTCAATCGAGTATTTCCAAATCGGTGGATAGGGAGGCGAAGATCGATGGAATGGCCAGCACGATTCCCTTATCTGACATCATTAGACTTATGGGGATATGTCAAATGTATGATATATAATTTAACAAAACTAAACGCAAAACAAACATTACAAATCACAAAATATCTGTCAAATGTTAAATTTAGTTGATTGTTAAACGTACAGATTAGAAGCTATTCAACGTATTATTTCAGTTTTAGAAAAGATCCTCAGTATTTTAAAAGATCATCGTTAATAAATTAATAATAATAATAATAATACTCTCCCTAATTCACCCCCTTACGAGTAAATTTCAACCCCTGAAGTCGACTGAACGACTTGTGTAGGTGAAGGGACGGCTATTATTATTATTTGCCGTGGCGCTCCGGGGCGACTTAAGGATGATTGATGGTGCCATTTGACTTACAGGTGAGGAAAACCCGGAAAACCTCACCCACCATCATTAATTAATCCTAATAAATCATCCTCTCTAATATTTGGCAATGAAAATATTTTGGACACTGCGCAACTAATAATAGAGGGTGCTGAAATACCTATTACACATTACACCTTAATGTAAAGACCTAGGTCTTGTTGTAGATACAAAATTTCGATTTTGTTAAGGTCTCAGTGATTCCTAATAATTTCTCTTTCAGTAATATTAACTCTCTTCCCTTTTCTCCCTCCCTTTCCTTCCTTCTTTTCAATTATTTAAAATAATTGTTCGTCATTTGATTAACTATTTTATTGTTTTACTGGCGCTAGTGGAAGAACAGGGGTGAACTCATTCATGACTGAACTAGTCCGTCCAATTACCTACAGTGATATATATTATGTAAAAATAAAAATCTGATACAATGTACCCATCTGCTGTAGATAATAAATGATTTGTTATTATTATTAATTTGCGCTTTTACGTTTTAACAAAACAGTTTCAAAAAAGTTGTTTCGAGTTTGCTCGTTCACCGTCACCGATTCGCATTCATATAGAACCGTTTGATGACGGTGAACGAGCCCGTTAATAAATATTTACCGGTGAAAACGAATATATTTTATAGCATTGGCACTTGTATTATAAGTATATACAATTTTTCACGTTACATCTTGAACTAGAAATTGAATAACTAAAACCCTTTAAATTGCTAAAACACCAACAAATAAATCAAAAACCAGCTGCCAATGGTGATTGATCTCAGACGGAGACGAGCGTTGAATAAAAATATCGGAGCAACTCGGGTGGTGTCGTGGAAACAATGATTTTCATTAGGTGGGTTACTGTGCTAAAATAGACAACATGCGCGGTGTGCAATTTTACATCTCCGGTCTCTTTAATCTAAGCCTACAATCCAAAATAACCGAAACAATAAAACCAAATCTTTTACTTGCAGTCAACAAAATTTTTGGTTAAACACAGTCTTTAATAGTAGTTTATTTATTTTAAAATTTAAAGTAAAATTGAAAATCATGTTACTTACCAGTTCTTAGATTTTCATTCCTTAGCCAATCTTCTAGAGGTCTAAAGTATTCCCTTAAAGCTCTACCATCCAATCTGCTTTCTCCCGTGGCTTGGAACAGGACGTCTCTCCAAGGTTGTGATGATCCTTTTTCCATAATTTGCCTGAAAATAAAAAAAAATGATTGAGCTTTTCTGCTATTTCAAAATTTTAATAGAAATCGGAGACACAAAAAAAATAAGAATATGTCTTTTTTTGATTTAGATTGAGTTTAGAATATTCATACAAATAGAGAATAATTGTATATTTCAAAAATACAATGAGTTCTTTTCGAATTATTGACGTATATTAATTTTTTTTGAAAAATCACTTTAAACTTTAACTATTAAATGATTAAAAATAGAGGACGGCTCAGATCCATTGAAGTTCATCTGTTTTGTTCTACACTTATACAGGACGATTTATCAATTAGTAACTGCGGAAAATGAAAAAAAAAAAAAAAGAAAAAATAGCAAATTTGCTGTTTTGTTCTACTTGTTATTGAGTGTACATATTTTTCATATTTTTCATAGAATTTTTAATCTTATTTACGTCGATACAATTATTAATGTTTATTTTAAGAGCAAACCGAACACCTTGAAAATTTATAATTAATTCTGAGCCTTTATTTTTAGTTCGATTTTTGTGAAATTTTTAGGAATTACAACCAATACCAAAACATAGGGTGGAGAAACCTTTAATTTTTTGTAAACCTTCGAAAAGTATTTATTTTGAAAATGTTTAATAGAAATTTCAAAAACAACATTTCCGCGCTATTTTGTATTACATCTATAAAAATTTGCTGCTTTTTGTTTTAATAAATATCTAGTAGTTTTTAAATGATATGCTTTTCCAACTTTTTTCTTAAAAGTCTTTACAGAATGCTGCCTTATCATCGCACAAATTTAAAGCTCTTAATATTGTCAAGACAGATAATATCACGAAGTATTCCTAGTGACACGCATATAAATTCAATTTTATATTAGAAAATCCTTAAAACATTTTTGCTTTCGCAAAAGGTACGGTTTCCTCTTGACAAGAAAACATTGATTTATCCATTTAATTAGGCATTTAGAAGAAAATTGTGATTTAAAAACCATTTTTAATGAAATTTCCCTCTTAAATTCACCCCCGAATAACTACACATTGTTATAATGGAGCCAAATTTTTTTTTAATAATTTGTTTTCTTCTCCTAATGCGTAAATTACTTCAGTGGTTTGTATTTTTGTTCTGTCGAATCTTATTTGACGTTTGTGGACGTTTTAGCTGAATCTATTTTCACAAATCCAGGATTCATGTTAAATACTTACAAACGATTCCGAAATAGAAATCTAATACAGAATTGAAGGAATTAATTTTAGTTTCAAACTGACATACAGAGTGACCCATTTGAAAGCGGGCCACCCTCAAATTTTTTTATTTATAGAGCGATTTTAACAAATTTTTTTTTGAAATGTGAAGGAAGGAAAGTTGTATCTTAGAGCCAAGTGGCGTTCAGTTTTTTTTTAAAAACCAAGGCCTACTAGATCACATTCAGAGGCTGAAAAATCCAGAATCCACATCAGCGATTTTTTCTATTAACCTATCATTTGCCTGTCATTTCCTACGGGTAGCCATTTTGTTTGGAATGCCTATTTCACACAGAGATGGGACTAATAGGAAAAGAAAAGTAGACAAAAGTTGGCAACAAAATTTAAATTTTCTGAATTTATTGGTACACGTCACTGGACATAGGGGACATAAAATTTTTAACTTTAACAATTATTTCTTCGGCCTCTGTTCAGATTTGAATATTTTCCTTTATATTCACATATTAAAAGAAAATCCTATATATGAAATAATTTAATTCTTTCATTGTATAAAACTATTATTTTAAAATATCGAAATTAGATCTTTCAAGTTAGCACGTACAAAACTGATAACTTTATTTTATTTTGTTGACCTTTTTATGATTTAGGCGATTGTCTTTATGATCTGTGATTTAATAAATAATGGTTGATTTTAGCAATGAAGAAGCGATTCAAAACTAAAAAGTTGTAGTATTAAACCGAATTAACAAAAAACCCTAAAGTTCGATTATACATGGTCCTTCGAGCAAAAGTTTAAAAATTTGAAAAACCTGTGGAAGAAGCAAACTTCAACATGAAGAAAAATAAGAAAATTAAGAAATTAAGTCCAAATTTCGACCAAATCCAAGCCAAAATTCAAGAAGCAATGCTTTAAATAACGAATTCTACTACCATACAACCAAGGGACTTTCGCTAGATTAAAGTTCTCCATACTTAAAAACAAGAAGCATCAAACGCTTTAAACAACCAAGGCACTTTCGTTCGATTAAAGTTCTACATACCCAAGCAGCAACCGCTTTAAAAACCAAATCGAAACTCGTATCGAGCGAATTCGACAACCATACAAACAAGGGACTTCCGTTCGATTGAAGTTCTTCATACTCAAACCTAAGAAGCATCAAACGTTTTAAACAACCAAAGGACTTCCATTCGATTACAGTTCTCTATTCTAAAACCCAAGAAGCATCAATGCTTTAATAACAAATCAAAGCTCGTATCAAGCGAATTCGACAACTATACAACCAAGGAACTTCCATTCGATTAAAGTTCTACATGCTCTAAAAGCACCAACGCTTTAAAAACAAATCGAAACTCGTATCAAGCGAATTAGATAACCATACAACCAAGGGACTTCTGCTCGCTTGAAGTTCTCCATACTCAAACTCAAGAAGCACCAATGCTTTAAAAACAAATCGAAGCTCGTATCAAGTAAATTCGATAACTATACAATCAAGGGAATTCTTCATACTCAACCCCTAGAAGCACCAACGTTTTAAAATAAAATCGAAGCTTGTATCAAGCTAATTCGACAGACAACTAAGGGACTTCCATCCCATTGCAGTTCTCCATACTCAAACACAAGAAGCATAAAAGCTATAAATGAATAACTTAAATTCCATAATTTCCGAAGAAAAAGCCGTTCAAGATGAGCTGCATGAGAAAATCTGGAAGAAAATCAAGAACCACAACTTTATATCGAATTTCATCACAGCCATTATTGTATTTATTACCTACACTCAGAGCTGTCACCTATCAGTGAGATTTAAATCATTTTTTGATTTAAATACATTTTTTGATTTAAATACTTTGATTTTAAATCTTTTTTAAAAAAATGATTTTTGATTTATGATTTAAATCTTTTTGAAAAGTATCTTTGATTTTTTATTTAAAAATTAGATTTAAATCTTTTTAAAACGATTTAAATCTTTTTAAAACTATTTAAATCTTTTTAAAACGATTTAAATCTTTTTAAAACGATTTAAATCTTTTTAAAACGATTTAAATCTTTTTAAAACGATTTAAATCTTTTTAAAACGATTTAAATCTTTTTAAAACGATTTAAATATTTTTATTGATTTAAATCTTTCTGAAATGATTTAAATCTGTAAAATGATGCGATCTTTTTAAAATGATTTAAATTTTCTTAAAGATTTAAATTTTTTTAAGATTTAAATCTTTTTAAAACGATTTACATCACCTGATTCGTTAAAATCGTTATCAACCTGTCTATTTCTGAATAATAATCTAGTCAGTAGGGTTGAATCAGAAATCCGAGAGAAAAGAAAAACAAAAAATAGTAAAGTGTAACAAATAATTGCAATGACTAAAGATTATTTTTAAGTATGAAATTTTACAATATCCTGAAACTCTTAACATATGTATTTTAAATTTATGCACACTTTTATTTCAGATTTGACATGAGTTGCATTAAGACTTTTTGACCAGTTCAATAAACACGCTTGGCATAGATAGAGCGAATTAATTAAATTTTTTATTTCTTTGGCTGATTCATCCACACATTTTTCAAAAAAATTAACTCAAACGCGCTCACTTTGGTTATTTATTTACTCGCAATAACTTCACGTTGAGAGAAGAACTCTTTTAATTCAACCCAGTCAATTTCATTATTCATAGGCGGAAGATTTTGAAAATGAAATGCATTTTTCCGGAAGAGTCTCTTAAGTACAAATAAAACATATTTTTAAAGAGTCTGATTGTATGTGCATCTATGTGGGATGTTTATGTATGTATGACATTAAGCTCGTTAACTTAAGGAAGAGTTGACGGATTTAAGTGATTTTTCAGAAAAAAATCACTTTTCTTAAAAACTAGGTCTCCATTGTTTTGTGGCATCATAGGCATACCAAAAGTATCTTTTAAAGGGTTGAAAAATTCCTATTTACCAATTGACATAACATTTTTAAATAACAAATTTAATAACTATAGATATCAATGCTGCATAAATCCTTAAAAATATTATCTTGATTATTTAAAATTAATATTTCCGTAAGAATTGCATTGAGCTAATAACGATAAAAAATAAATACGAGAAAAGTTGATCGAGTTTTGCGTTTTATTTATGAGAAAATCACATTACTTAAGTATTCATTACCTTTGGCCTACCGAAAGCCTTTTTTAAAGAGTCACCCAAATCTATAAAAAGATTTAAATCTTTTAAAAATATTTATTTCGTTTAAAAAGATTTAGATATTTCGAAAAGATTTAAATCTTTCGAAAAGATTTAAATCTTTCCTAAAATGATTTAAATCTTTTGAAAAGATTTAAATCTTTCGAAAAGATTTAAATCTTTCCTAAAATGATTTAAATCTTTCGAAAAGATTTAAATCTTTCCTAAAATGATTTAAATTGTAAAAAAGATTTAAATCTAAAAAAGATTTTTGATTTAAATCTTTCTTTTTAAAAAATCGATCTTTGATTTAAATCATTTTTTCAAATGCAATGATTTATGATCTTTGATTTAAATCGTTTTTAAAATGATCTTAAACAGCTCTGCCTACACTAATAGTTCAGTGGATCCTCCACAAAAAGATCTACCACCATCTGTGCCCTACTCTACCAGACTCGTCAAACCACGCAGAGATGATAGAACATAGAACTCCAGATACTAGTGTCAGTAAGGAACGAAAATCCTCCTGAGTCAAGATGAGAGTCGTCAGTATGTTCAGATTTGAACATTTTCCTTTATATTCATATATTAAAAGAACATCCTATATTATATGAAATAATTTAATTATTTCATTGTATAAAAATATTA